CAGTTCTGTCTTGCAAGAAGGAAGAAAATGAGACTCATTACTGTTTATCAGAGAGCAATACTATGCATGCACCTATGCTGAGACAGCACTTAGCCTTGCATTATTCTTCCAGAATACATGAGCTCCCCACTACCTAGTATGCATTTCCTGGCTCTAGAATCTGCTGGATGCCTGCTGGCAAATGAAGCAAGTCCAAAAGCAAAGGGAACATCTTCCTCCACTCAGCTTCTCCTCCTGAGCTGTGTCTACCATGAAGAACATCACGGTCAACCATGTTTTGAGGCAGCCTGCTGTGGTTTAGATCTAAGATGTCTCTAAAAGGTTCCTGTGTTTACAGGCTTGTGACTGGGTCACAGAAGCTGGCTACTCACCATAAACTAAAGCACTGATGAGCACACAGCTTCATCTGCTGCTAGACAGAGGAGCTGGAGTCCTTGTGTCTCCGGGGCTGTGCCTTCGGGGTATAGCTGCTTCCCTGGCTCCTCCCTTTTTTGCTGTCATGAAGTGAGCAGCTCTGTCACAGCTCCCTCTCCCACCATGGCATTTCTGCCTGGGAGGCAGCTGACTATGTACTGAGTCCTGGTGGTGTTAGGTATTTTGGCACCAACAGGAAAGTGGACTCATACTGGTGGGAAACACTACTCTCACTACTCTGTTATCTCCATATTCAGATGGCCATTGTGTTCTGTAGACAATTTGTGTGTGTGTGTGTGTGTGTGTGTGTGTGTGCCTCACTCCAAAGCTTTCCACTCATTGTTATTAGTTGGGTTTTCAGCACGGTGGTCTAGAGTTAACATCATTACTTCCATGGGCCATTGTTAAGCTTGTATGGCTGTGGATTGTTGGAATATCAACTTTAGATCCACCATGGGGGTTAGGAAGGGTAATAAATAACTTATTAAACTGGGTCTCTGGACCTCCCACTAGACCATTCCTTTTCCCCTTCCACTCTTCCTTCTTTCCCTTTCCCTTTTTCTTTTCTATATAGAAACATATTCTGTATTTACCTTTCCTCATCATTTCCCAGATGATAAATGACATTTTTCTTTAGTTCCAAGTTTTTGTTTGGCATTTAGAATTGTCTTTTCAAAACTTTCTATGGGGATTTATCTGAGTCTTTCAAAATCATGGGTTCATTTGGAAAAAAAAAACCTCTCAAAATAATAGTAATAAAAACATTTACCCTTCAGCACTATTCCTAACTTATGGTTGATCAAAATGCACTTTTCCTTTAAACAACCAGTTTAAAATGTGAATCTTGAACAAGCATTTCTTTGTTCATTCTGTTTTGTGTCCTTGCCTCTTGCATTATGCCTCCAAGAAAATGCTGCATATATATTACATTTTTTGAGTTCAAAATATCAAGTAACATATTACTGAAGAAAAAATTCCACAGTGAACTAAAGCCGTTAGCAATGTGGTTGTGCGCACTCACACCTCAAGCAAGATAAAATCTTTGTCCCTCTAAGGTCTGATTATCTGACACATGGAATATCTTTATTTGGGTTATATATAAGTTATATATAAGTTCTCTTATAGCAGAGAACTATAAGATACTCCTCAAAAATAAATAAATATACACATTGGGTCATACTCACGGTATAATTTATTGAAGGCAATTTTCTGTGAATGATTAGTAATATTCTCATATTCTAAGTCTATGGATCCTCTATTGAATTGTCTCACATTAAACACTAGCATGCACTACATAATGTTTATCTTTAAAGTTATAGATTATAAGCTTCTCTTAACATTCTTCTTTATATCCGAACAGCTACAATTGTCCTTTAAAGAAATACACCTAATTAAATCAGTTTTTAACTGAATTAGTAATGTTAATATTAAAACATAAAGCTCAAGTGTTGAATGTAATGAAGTCCAGAAATTTAGATACTCATCATTTATTATCCAAACTTGCCCCAGAAAATGTTAATTTATTATTTCAAAATTTCCAAATATCACAGATTTCAAATGATACTTGTCCTGAAATAAAGTTTATTTTTAAGGTACCTATTCTGGCAAGTTCTTAATTACATCATCGTGTGTTTATAGCTTGTTAGAATAGGTGCTAGACCATGTTACAAAAAACGTCTGGCACATGGAGACTGTATAGCAAAACAGTTACAATGTAAACTCATGACTCAGACCAGCTATGCTCACATCCTACTTTTCTTTTTTTTCCTACCTGGATGACTTTGGACAGATTCTAATGCTGTTTATGCATTAGTGTCCTTATTTTAGTCATATTTGCTACTTAAGAAAAGTTGCTTGGAGGATTAAATGAGCTAATTCTTATGAGGAGCAGTGGTGGGCCCTGTGGACAGTACCACTCTACTTTTTATTCGATAAGTACAGCTATTATTGTATTGCAAAATAATAATTTCATATTATGCTCAATATTCTTGTTTACAATAACTGTGTAATTGTGGAAGACATTCTTTAAACACAAAAACTCGAAGCTCAAATTTCATTACATGGAAGTAAATACTATATGGAGTATTCGTAAAGACTTGAAACTGGTTTTGTTGTTTCCAATAAGTCCTTTTCCTGCACAAGAATGTAGGGTGATGAGGGCCTGGCCTTGGCAGAGCTGTGTTGGGACAGGTCTGAGAAATCTACTTTCTCCCGCGTATGTCTTGGAACAGAGAGCTCAGAGTCAGAGATGGAAAGTAGGGAAAACGAGAGCTGTGTGTCACAGAATCTCTTCCACCCCAGGAAGCCCAGAAGCCAAGCGAGATTCTGGAGAGCCGATGGAAGAAAATCCAGCAAGTAAGAGGCCTGCAGCATGTCCCTAGGGCATGTCCCTTCTGGTGTCCTACTCCTGAGCAGCGAGGCCATGTACAAAGGATTAGGGTTTGCACTGGGCCTTTAGTATTACCCCAGGTTCTATTCTACTGGACCACTTAGACGCTACCTAAGATAACCACAATTTTATTCTAAAGTGAAATACGTACTAAAGATGATACACCCTACTTTTAAAGCACAGCTTACATTTATAAATCATGTTATAAAATGCTTTTAAAAATCTCCCTCAGTGGTAAGAATGATACAGCAAATAGAAATGTTGTCTGACAGCAACACAGACATCAGAGCAGAATCTCATGGTGAAATTATCAGCAGAAAGACAGTAGAGGCCACAACATGTATTGCAGCACTTGTGCTTTTTAGCCTACAAAGATTACTTGGGGGATGAGATAAAGAAATGAAAATAACCGCTGTCAAAATAACAAATGTCAAATTAATAAAACTGCCTTGTAGCTGAGTGAGTCGTGTCCAGATGAGCTTTAGCTGCCTGATGTTCATAGCACAGAGCAGAGCATATTCTAGCTTGGTTTTCTTAGAGCATGTGGATTTGTCCAGAGAAGATCAGCGGGTAATTTGCGTAAGTGAGACCCAGTTGTGTGAGCGGGATTGCCCTTCAGGGACCTTGGTGGGCTGGAGAACAGGACAGCCTGTGAGTTTTTAGGCACACCACAAAGGGAATCTGCGGCTGGAGTCACACTTCCCTTTGGCAGATTTACTGGGGAAACAGATCCCTTTTCATAGAAGGCATCCCAAGGATGTTTCTGCTTCAGGTATTTATGGAGTATATGGTTATACAGAGAATTTTGGCGCTAATTAATAAGAACAGACTTTTAAATACTTACAAAGGTGCACCTTTATTTAAATCTTCTTTTTTGGTCTTTTTTTATTGCTTGGAGATACAGTAGAAGTTAATTCTAACTGTATTATAATGTGTGCATGCAGCACATCTAGCAAAAATTATTAGGAAATAGATATTCATCCAGTAGTACCTATATGGATTGATGAATGCTTCACTTAAAAAAAAATTAACACCATCAGACTTGCTTAGATTCTCATAAACACATTTCAAAACTAGAAATAGTTATTTTTCCAGTGTCATGCCTGCACCATCTGAATGGTCATTTATAAATAAAGTCAATCTTCCCTGTTCATAGCCTCAGCATCTGTGAATTCAAACAATAAGATGCAAGCTTTTAAAAAATTGTTCCTGAGCAGGATATGTACAGAATTTCCATGTTGTTATGATATCCTAAGCAATATACTATAACTACGATTTGTATATCATTCACGTTGTATTAGGTATTATTCATAACCTAGTGGTGATTAAAGTATACAAGAAGATTGTGGTAGGTTGTAGAGAAATATTAGACCAATTTATATAAAGGGCTTGGTGCCCACCGATTTTTGCATAGAGGATCCTGGAGCCAATTCCCAATACATAATCTCATATAAGTGAAATAAAATGTTATATATGGACTCTAAGACAGCAGATAGCATGGAAATGGAGGCCAAAGACAGCTACAACAGGATTAGGGGCAGTGGGAGGGATGGACGGCCAAAGGACAATGTGATTAAAGAGTGACAATACTCAGTTGGACTGCAGATCCACAGCACTGCACAGTGACCACAATTAATAATAATATATTGTTCATTCCAGCATCATTTAAGAATAGACTTTCAATATTCTTATTACAAAATAACAGGTTGATACGGTAATGTGTTAAGTTAGACTGGATTTTTCTATAATGCATACATTAATCAAAATATTAAATCATACCCACAATTTTTCACAAGTATTATGCCTATTAAAAATAAATTAATAGAAAAGGCAGGAGGAAAATATTCTTGTAAAATAAAAAATTCGCAAGAAATTCTCCAAGATGTGTGTTTCTAAGCAGAAATAGAAATTATATGTACATCAACCATTTCAAAATTGATCAGTCTTCTGTGAACTCAGTCCTTTTGAAAAACATGGCAAACCTGCAGCTGAAGACATGATTATGCCTTCCTGTAGATGTTCTCATTATTAGCAAACTTGGTAACTAATGAACAAGTAGCTCTTCTAGCATTGCAAGAAAGATTAAGTACTAAAACAGAACGCCTGAACCCATAGAACTGCCTGGCATTTTCTGCTGTTGTTGCTGGTGCTTTAAGAACATGGAACAAATGGTCAATCTGCCTGGCGCATTACTTACTGATGGGTAGAGGTAACCTTCTCCATTCATGGCTATATACAACCCTGTCTTCACGCCCTGGATGGCAACGACACGCAGTCCCACTGGGATGAGGTTGAACAGTGCTGTGAAGACAAATAGGGGCCACCGTGAATGGCAGGAAGCAGCCAGGATCGCCATAACTTTTTCCTCTCTCATTTTTTTTTAAGTTAAGAAACATCAACTTTATTGCTACTTTTTCAGAGTTTCCAACAAAATAACTTTTATTTTTCTTCATAGCAAGAAGGATTCTGCTAAGTGTAAAATTAACACTTCACCTTTAATTTGTCAATCTTCTCAGCAAGCTTGCCTACAGCCTGCTGAAGAAGCGCTGCAGTAATAAACAGAGCCAGTCCTATAATCCTGGTTCTAGTATCACAGTCTCTTGACACCATTAGACTCCCAAAGAAATCAGCTGTGAAGATTCTCAGAGAGCAGAGGCCAAAGAACCCCGTGTTTATTCTCGTCTCTTTTATACAGAAGGCGTAATCTGTCCCTGCAATGTGGCGTGGGTCAGAAGTGCAAACGGTAATTCCAGAACTCAATTACCTCGCAGAACCAACATGACACGCAAGCAGGGCCAAGAAAGGGTATGCACCTGCCGGTGGGCCAAATTTAGAAAGAGCTCATTAAGACGAATGGCATGGCAATTTTAGAGCCCCAATTTTCTGTATTAATAGTTTATAAAACTATGAATATATGATACAGAAGAGAAATGAGTTCAGTTTTTGTATTTAATAGATAAAATCCATTATACTTTCATGTTTTTTTTCTTTATTGTTAATTGAGTGCCAATGGTATAATCGATTTTTTAAAGATTAAAACACTAAAAGTAAATTTCCATGCCAGGGTATGTGTTCACTTAGTGAGAAACTTTTAACCTTCGTCAGGATGATAGCTGCTTGATGATTTTGGAGATTTTAGTATAGATACCTTTATAAGATAATTATTAATTATTCACAAAAAACTTGTCTTCTCCCACTCAAGGCCCTCTTAACTCAAATCTAACTAAGCAATAGAACTAGGATAGAACAGGTATTAAAAGCACAAACATTTAATGAAAATAATTGTTGATGTACACTATATCACTTTAGGCTTTCACTTGTGTTTCACAGAAGGCAAATTACTTGTGACATGGGCAATTTTTGTGTCGTTCTTAGCATCTACTCAGTACATAATTAAAAAACTGACTCTATAACTTGTGTTCTGTTTTATCATTAGGAACAGCTTTTCTCTTAATGAGCTGGAGAAAGTCACATACTCTCATCCAATGATTTGTTGAGTGTGCCCAAGATCTCCAGGTGTCTGTACCAAAGTTCTAGAACACCTGAACAGCATTATTTTCTTTGTATTTAAAAGGAATGAGTACAATAGCAAAATTCTTGACTTATGTGCAAAAAGTATTGACATAAAAATATAATCATATTTCTATTTTACCTATTATAACTTAACAAATTCAAACTTAATCATGTAAACTTCATATGCAGCTAGTAGTAT